CGGGAGTGATCTCCCCTAAATTTTCTCAAATATTCTTATATAACAATAAGAGTGATAGCAAATCGGGACATAGAAATGATTTAAATCCATTTTTAATTACTTAAACTTTTTAAAATAGAATAGAATCTCGTAGAAAAAAACAATTGCACACCAAACAAAATGTCGATAATAGTGCGGAATATTATCAGTACTTTATAAATTCACATCCGTTTTTTGAGAAAACGGAAATAGCGTAAATTACTACTTCCGGTCAACGGAAATTACTCAAAATATGATAGATGTCAGATAATTTGATGTTTTACGTACGTGTGAAATTTCATGTATCTATCTGAAATAGTACACACGTTATAGGCTTTTGAAAAACTCAAAGTAGAAAAGTTCCACTTCCGGTTATCGGAAATCACTGACAAGTTGATACGGATCTACAAATTTGATATAATACTTATATATGAAATTTCATCAAACTAGCTGTAACGGTACTCAAGTTATCGTGTTTACACACACACACACACACACACACCCACACACACATACACAAACACAGAGACATACAGAAAAGATTGCAAAACTATATTTTCCGACTCAGGGAGGTGTAAAACGTCGGGATTTGCAAAAATCTTAAATTTTTTTGCACGATTACAATACTTTCTCTATACTTCGTATATACGAGAAAGTAAAAATTGCTTGTTGTGTAAACATCTAGACTAAATGTAATATAAACATGTTTTTAGAGACTCCGAGCTTATGTTTCGAGAACCACCGGAGGATCCGAATCACATCAACAGTTAACGGCACTGGCTCTGGCACTCTTGTTGTCTGTGGTAAAAATATGACAGAACATTTAACTATCATGGCTGGAAACGATGAAATATTTCCTTTGTCAACTGGGAGATATGAGGTGACTGTTAGTGAGAGTGGGTATCACAATACAGTCAACATTACAATACATAACCTGACAGAACGGGAACAGGGCGTCATACCACTCGTCTTCTTATTTTGCTGTAAGAAGGTTATTGAGAGTCAGATATGGATGGATGTAAAAGGTAACAAACTGTTCAAATCAAATGTCAAACAAATTTAAACTATTTAGATAAACTAACATTTTAATAATTTTTTTCCAGGTAGTACCGACAACTTGACCTTTAGTCACCAGTTAATGAACGATAACTCTGAGCTTAATCTAAAATTACATTGCGCAGGGACGGGATACCCACGAGTTATAAATATCATAGATATCAATACAGCAACTGTTGTAGCAAGTCAAACATTCAGCCCAAGAAACTATCAGCATACAATGTCACTTGAAACATCACTCTACGACACATTGTGTTCACACATCAGAAGTTACATTTGTGAATTGACAGATTTCCTAGGACATAACAGTACATGTACATTACATGTCACACACCCAGCATGTAAGTTTTCATTAATGATTTGTTGTTTTATTAAATTTAAAACCTACATAATGTATATTATTTGAAATCAATTTTACTGTAATATAATAGGATTTATTGAAATAAATGAAGTGAATAATAGTTACAAAACAATGTTACTTGTTTTAGCTGTTTTTTGTTAACTTAGCGTTGCACGTATAACTATGTTCACAGTGCAATTGATTTTATTGCCAGGTCCCCCACGTTTATTTGACGTTACAACCAACAACAGCGTGATTCACGTAAATGGTAATGACACCGCCATGTTTTATTTTGACGTCATAACCTCTGGTGACGTAATCGTGGATGTTGACAGTAACCGAACACAGGTTAACATCACTAGACGAAGGTCAAATAATGTCTTCAGTGTTCACATCTTGTTGAACTCTATACAAGAACCAGACTTCAGGCTCTACACAATTTATTTAAAACATAACACATCAAGCTCTATTCAAGTCATGTTTGACATTAAACTCAAAGGTTAGTTTTTATAATTTTGAAACGATTTTCAATGCTTGGGTGAATAAGAGATTAGCGTATATAAGTCTAAACATGAATGTATACTATTTCCAAAATCAATATGTTGAGAAAGCTACAAGTTAATAAGTGAAATAGCTTTTCTGAAGACTTTGTATTTCATGCAAAGTTTGATTGTACTGACCTAACTTAATAAAAATTGCCATGGTGCTAGTTTTTGTGCGTGCTACAGAGCGTGTGTGCATGTGTGTGTGATTCCGTGTGTCTGTGTTCGTAAATGTGGAAGTGTGTGTGTGTGTGTGTGAATATTTAATATAATATATATGTTTAAATATTTCAGACTACCCACAGTTTTGCTATAAACCAAACCTTAACTACACAATCTACACCCGACCCAGCGAGACCTTGTCAGTCAACTTTTGTCTGAAGTCTGGTGTAGACATACAACATCAACACAAGATGGAGGTTTATGTGGACAACCAACGTCTGTCAGACAAAGATATACAAGTAACAAAGTATAACAGCAGATATCAGTATGGACTGGACATTGTCTTATATAATCAAATGTATAACGAAATTCTGCGGATAGTAATAAGAATGTTTAACGTTACACTGAAGTGCCAAATAAAAATAGTTATACTGGTGAGGTTTCTATGTTACATCATTTCATAATAAAACATTCATAAAATCATGTCGTTGTTATAAAAGTTATATATTTTCAAATTTTCAATAGCCATTTGCAGTAACGAGAACCTGAAGCATCCAATCCCAGCCAGACTTGACCAACCACTGACCATACAGTTTTGTGTTGTCTCAAGCTCTCCCCTGCACGACCATATCGCGATAAACGGTCACGTGATCAAAGTGAACACGTCACACGTCACTGGTCTCTACAGGTATGTTGGTGTAAGGAGATCAGGAGATGACACCTACAATTTTACTATTCAACTTTACCCGGCTGATGCAGATGATGTACAGATCTATCAAGTTTTAGTGAAAAATGTAGAGAGGGAGGCGATGATCATTATATTTCAGGTTGTTCTGCAAAAAGGTAAATTCTACGAAATAACGTAAATATATTTACGATTATCAATAAAAGTGAAATAAAAATAATTATTTTGCAAGTCAAGCTGATGAAAATAGTCGTAGCCTACTCATAACTTTATCTTTCAAGTAGTTATCTTTAATTTTGTAAATGCATATAGACATGCATCTGAAAATGTGGTTGATATTGTTTTTACAACTTGAATTGATTAATTGTATGTATCTGTAGCTAAGTATATTTCCTATACACAGAACGACAGATAACTACTATGTCATATACTACAGGGAAACACTTATAGCTTGAAATAACGTACTTATTGTTTTTTTTCCGTATGCTTGTATTTGAGAGAAATGTTACTTATTATCATTTTAAAATAGAAATAATGTAAAATTAAATAGCATGTTTAAATAAAACTACATAAATAATTAATGCGGTATTATTGATTTACTTTTATGATTGTCTTATACTTCTTAATAATTACAATATTACTGAACACATATGATGTCAGATTCTACAATGAGAACATCAATTCAACCTTTCTCCTCTGTGACTAATTCAAGTAGGTGAACTTTGTGACATAACACATTTGTTAAATTAAAAGGCCGCCTTCCTTTGAAACCAAACATTATTCTTTGTGAATTTCTTCTCTTTTTTTCAAAAGATATTTCGTTTAAATACCGAGGTTTTTGGAAACTCTGGGTGGGACCATTTGATATTATGAAAACGTAGTAATGAATGTTTACTTCAAATAAGTATTACTTCTGCTTTTTTCAGTTCATTTTGTACACGAACAAAATGAACTGAGCATTAACATCACAGTATTTAAACACAATAAGAACATTAAAATATGTTTTACACACACACAAAACTTAATAATGAATATTTATTGCAATCAATCAATCAGTGTTACTTCTACTTTAGCCTTGCAGACGCAAATTGCGACTTCATATTGAATTCAGCCAGTGTCGTGTTCTTGTGTTTTCCATATTAATGCAGCTTATACAAGTATTCTCGTATGTTCGCCAATGCTAGACTTGAATTTCTCAAAATGGCCTCGCAAAACTTACTGTAAAGACGCTAACACCTATCAATTTAAAAAAAAATATGGATGTTGTTGTAGCTTAAATATTTGTCCCAAAACTATTTTGTTATATATATATATATATATATATATATATATATATATATATATATATATATATATATATATATATATATATATATATATATATATATATATATATATATATATATAAAGTTATCATTTTTAAGTTTTTAATTTAAGGATAAATGGAATCTGGGTAAACATAAATCTAAATGCCACAGTTTATGCGAATTAAACTGGTTGTCATGTGACGGCCTATCTTGACTAATCCACTAGAACGATGGTTTAAAAAAAGGTTACGCTGTAACATTGCATTAAACCCCGTTCCAACTAACCAATAAAATATTTAAGAAAAACGGAAGTCGGAAGTTTTCCCGGAATAAAATAGCAAGGATGCAGTATTTCGCCTTCGGACAAGTGTACTTTCGGGTATTTGTCGCAATCGAGCAAGTGTCCATTCGTGAAATCACTTTTCTGGCAAATAGCATTCGCGCAATGTATTTCGTGAATTTTTCTTAGACCCAAGAAAAACATTATTATAATTTTTATATTAACGATGATTTTTTGATGTTTTATGTAACACAATGTAACATGAATTGAACTTAAAATATTCACATACAATTGTAATTTCAGCTTGGACTCTCAACGATTCATCGACTCTCTGTAATTGTACAACAGGTATGCTTTGTATAGAGTAGGGACGTTTTGTTTACACCAATTTTAAGACAGGGAATATTATTTACGGCATGTCTATTTATTGTTTTTACTGGTATTTTAAACTAATTTAAAGTTAAAATTACAAATAAACGATGATATTACTAAAATTTACTAAGTTGTTTTCCAAAATATTTGTCAGATATTTATTAATATGATTTTGAAGAAAGAAATGAAACAAATGAAATAAAAAAAAACGATGTGTATATTCCACAGAAAACACAAATAGTTTTAGGTTGGTTGTCATATTTTTAATAACCATGGCAACCAAATCCCTGATATTGATTATTGTCCTCGTCTGTCTGGTGACTCATTATAAAAAAAGTAAGTGGTCGCCTGCATTAGTTGGATATCATGTCTATTAATTAATAGATAATCTATACAACTCTTATTTTTAAGATTATACAATGACAGTTTTTGACATCCAGTGAACAGATGCACTGCACGGTTTCGTCGTCCTATTGTACATTACGACAAATGCTACTTCAATAACAGAGAAACTGATAGAGACCGCTACATGAATGTTGAAGTAACTCCTGTACAAGACAGCGAGAGTTATCGTCCCTCTCCTACACTAGAGTTGTCTAACCTACACCAGTACAGCGAAGTTCAGGATGTCCTGACCTTGACCCACTACACTGAACCCACAGACACACGGGGTCATCAACAAAGTGAGACACACGTTGGGGACATCTTGACCTTACACGCACAGGAGCGGCACTACAGCGTGGTAGATGTTCAAGTCTCGCTGGCATCAAGCGTTCGTCATCTGAATCAAAGTGCTAAGGCTATAGAAGGCCAGCTGACGTCAGAACAGGTTGAACAGTTAAACGACGGTTACATCACTCCGATAGATCACTACTCGATCATTGATTGAAATTCTGAGCACAGCTTCAGATCACATGCCTCTACTATTGTTTCATAAACTGTATCTTAATATTATGCTTTTTTACTGCAATATATGGAGTAACATGGTCACATACTACTATCAAACTAGAGGCGTACTTAGCTGTTCCATATACTTATAACAGAACATCCTATATAATAGCTGGCAATCTTTATATTTTTATAACTTCAAATAATTGTGTGTTAAATATAGACAAATAGGCTTCAATGGTAAAAAGGAAAAATGAGTTAAAGGAGCTCAAATTTGAGCGAATTATTAGATTCTGAGTTTGTTATGCGAGCTACAGTTAATCGACTGTTACATCATTCCAATAGGTCAATACTCGACTATTGATTAAATTTCTGAGCACAGCTTCAGATCACGTTCCTCTGCTTTTGTTTAATTAACTGTATGTTAATATAATGCTTTTTACATTAATATTATGCAATAGGACATTCACACACTAATATTAAACTATACGTAACTTTTCCACCCACATACATATAACATCCTATATAATAATTGGCAAAAATTTTTTGTGTAACTCAAAATGATTGTGCTATTAAGATTGATCGAAGTAGCTTCAATGGTATCACTGAAACAAAATATATCAAATATGGAAAACTATAAGCTATTGCGTTTTTTATGGCGGCCACTTTTTCTTTCAATCGCTTGCTAATGAATAACGGACATATATTAACAATTTAGTCTTTGATAGTGTTTTTTTATATATACTTTTCATATGCAGTACTTGTTGCAGATGTGTCAATTTTCAAGGACAGATAATAATATATCTATATGTATCATTGATCACAATTGATTGGGTTTGACAATATGACATTACTTTGTTAGATTTTTTGTTCAGTTGTCTGTGTCGATTCCCATGCACGAAAAGGTCATGGAAACCATACGGAATGACAATAAAAAGAAGATTTTGATTTACTTTGTAGTAAATAATTGAAAATAAAATGGCTTTTCAGTTCTTTTTACGTAGTTATTTTATTATTTATACCTGACCTCCGACTTTTTTTGCCAGTCAAGGCTAAATTTATTTAACCAAAACATTATGAGCTTAGTGGCAATAAAAGATCTATGAAATAAAATGAATTATTAACGCTTTATGTTTGTGACTGATAGAATAAGAAAATATGTAGAGGCAGCAAGGGAGTGATGATCTCTATGACTGCATTTTAAGGATAGTAGTACTATTAGGAGTACGTGTGGAGGTTCTGTGTAGATTTATTCAAATGAATAAAATTTAAACTAACTAAAATAATTGAAACTATAACACCCTCTCTATTACTTATGGCAACGTAACCGGTTATTTGACTTTTAGAATTATGTTTCTTGTTGATATAAAATAAGATGGTGCTTCATAATATCAAATTTGGTTATTAATTTGAAGTGCGCTTCTCTGTCGTGATTACAATAAAATAAACATATGGTGAGGTATTTTAATTTTTAAAATAATACGAAATTTTATATACCAGTTGCTATTATTCCAGGAATTATTTCAGTTCGCTGCAACAATTCTATTAATGCAGACGATACAAAGTAAGGCTTTTTATCTCGAATTTGTAGAAAGCTTCATGCAAACTAAGAATCTATATATATAATTCTCCTCTTCGAGCCGTTAGAAAACAAGCTGCAAACGCTCTCCCTACCTCCCCACCCCTACATGGTTTTAGTGAGCTGTGTTCACTCTAAATGTTTACAAGCAGAGCCAACGATTTTAAACGTAGGGGGGGGGGGGAGGGGGGGGGGGGAAGGAAGGGGGGGGGGGGTTATGGTCCTTAACGAGCTACTTATAGTGTTTTAAAGAAATATTTTCAGTGTCAGCGTTGGTACTGTCGAATTCACAAATTATGAATTATTGAAAATTAGAAACAACTAAATAGCGGCGTATGTTATGCCGCGGGCCGGCTCGTTTTCTTATATTTCCTATATATGCACATATTGACAAATCTCTATGTATGAGATTTTTAGTATTTGTTTAATGATGTCATAATCTAAAGCACTACATCACACCTTATTAAGTTAGACAAAAACAACCTCATACTGGCTTTACTTATATATATATATATATATATATATATATATATATATATATATATATATATATATATATATGTATGTATATATATGAAATATATCGGATTCAATGGTTGTTTTATTCCTTCTAATTGAAGTTGACACCATAAAGACTACGACTAAAAATTAGCATTAAAAAATCATTCAGTAGCTTGTGATATCTAAATAATAAATACATAAAACGTTTATATTTACAAGCTTTTATAATTGCACTAAAACAGAAAATACAATTTTTGTGAAATATAAAAAAATATTTAAAAATATAATAAATCTGCGGTTACTTTAAATATAAAAAAATTACTTTCTTTAAATATATTAATGCACTACTATTTATTTCACTATAAATAAAAGCGTGGGCCGCTAGTTTTAATACTTATTATTATAGTGGCCCACGCTTTTATTTTTACATCATCACCTGAATACATTGTTTGTTTATAAATTGTTGATGTGTGATTTTTTGTTTGTCAAAGCTACAGCATTGCGATTTTAATAAAATGAGTTTAGCAAAACGAGTTAACAGCTATTATAATCTAAAATACAAAATTACACGATCAGTGAAGTACAAATAGTGATCATACAACATGATTGTACTAACGTATTTGCTTGATTAATATCTCTAATCAGCAGTTATTATTTAAGTATTTTTTACCAAAGAATAGCTGGAGCTCTTTGTCTTTGAACTCTATTAAACGTTCAAAAGCAAAAATCACATCCTTCCTCCATTTTCTTGAAAATCCGAGCCTGGTTAAAATACTTCCCTATTTCGTTATAAATAAGTATCGTTACACTAATTTTTGTAGATAATCTGAAGAAATACACCACGTAATTCAGGAAGAATAAACAGTAGATATATATTTATATATCTTAATAGATGTTGGTGCATACTATCACGTTATCAACTATATCTATTTTTATGCATTTATTATTATTACTTATCGTTAGAAAGATACTGACATATTTTTCATTTCGATCTTTTCCCTTTAGTGCCCTTGACAAACGGGACAGATGAAGTATATTGTATCTGTTTTATTGACCTCGGCATACCATCCGGAAAGTGAAGTCAGAACTATGCCAAACCGCCTTTGTTCAGTAAACTTGAGTCAGTTGCACATATGAGCTGACCGAGGTAAGCACATAAAACGTTTGAGTAAGCAGTTGTAAGCTCTATCTCTCATTTTATGTGTTAATTATTAAAAACTTCGTCGTCTATAATATTACTTTACAAACATTGATATTAGACTCAACGTTGTATCACTCCTACGAAAAAAAAAACAATACCAGAATTGAAAAAATAATTAACTATTTATTTCTGTTGACCAATGTAACTTTTTTTTACTGGATATATTGAACGGGCAGATACGACTGTATTGTCTCATAAAGAAAACTTTTTTTGCGGTTTCTTATTTATATTATATTTATTTGAAAAAAAAACAACAACAACAATTGATTTCTTAAATAAAATTAGTATCAATATTCTTGTTATTTAAGGTAGTTAAAGTTCTGATTGGCTACTCCTTCAAGAATGGATAGACTGGTGTTGTCATATAGTGTAGTTGTATATCATATATATTTCGGTAAATTATATCTATATACAGATATATTTTTTTACATAATTTATAATTACAAAAAATTAATAAAACTTTACATAAATTATCTATTAATGCTATTAATAAATCAATATAAATCAATATATAAATATATATATAAATATAAATCAATATATAAATATATATATAGGCTATATATATATATATATATATATATATATATATATATATATATACATATTTATTTATTTATTTATTTATTTTATTTTATTTAGTTTTCTTACTTAAAAGAGTGCTTTTTAACATAACGGTTTTTATTTGTGTTTTAATATGCAGTTAGAACAGACCAAATGACGTTTACTTATAACTTAACAAAAGAAAACGAAGAACATGTTCTAAAATTACAATGTGAGGACACCGGCAATATACGAACTGTAGAAATAAAAGATTTCAACGAAAAAACTATTTTACAAAGAAGAACATTTAGCGCAAGAAAGTTTCAGCCGTTAATTAAAATTGAAGCTCTAGTCATCGACCTATCGTGTTTAATTATCCCAAGTTACATTTGTGAAGTAACATATTTTGAAGGAAATAAAAAGACTCGTACATTACATATAGCAAACGCGAAATGTAAGTTTTTTATTTTACTAACTAATTTAAGTTCTTCTAAATGTATCAATTTATCAAATATAGAAATATTTAAAAAATGTAAGCTTTCTGCTGCGATCCCAAGTGTCTTTGACACAGAAAAGAAACATATTTAACTTAAATAATACTTGTGATAATGCTTTTCACGTTATGATGAAGTGGTACTTTCTTTTGTCTTTCGTAAACATTTTTGAAAAATTTACACTTTGTTTCTAAATAATACTGATATTTTTAACAAATACTTACTGCATTCCATGCAGCACACAAACGCTGCCAACGCTACAATTTACTTCGTGCAACACACATATTTACATACATAACGTGACGCTTTAATCCTTCTACAATACTCATTTTGTATTGCCAGGTCCACTACGTCTGATTGACGTCACAACAAACAACAGCGTGGTTCTAGCAAACGTCAACGACACAGCCGTGTTTTCGTTTAACATAATTTCGCTTGGTAATGTCACAGTGAATATAGACACAAACAATACACTATCCAACAACATTACAGAATGTGAGATGGTTTATTGCTTTACTGTTATAATTTCTTTGATCGTTAAAGAAGAATCGGATTTTAAAAACTACACAATTACTATCAAACTAGCAGAGAATGCAACGAAGTCATTAAAAATCATGTATTCTATCAAACTAAAAGGTTAGTAAACTGTGTTTACTGATTACACATTGTTTTATGTGTCCATG